TATGATATTTGCATTTTAGAAATCATTTGTAATTTAATAACGATTATTTTTATTATCTTAAACTTTTTTGAATGAAACTTAATTAGTGAAATGTTATCTTTAATTTTTAAGTATTAATACATTTTGTGAATTAATTTAAGGTATAAATGTTTATGCAACTGTTGATACAACGATAATTTGTAATACATTTGGCCAAAATAGTTTAAGATTAGAGATGGAATTTATAGTTCAATTTTATATTTCAAATCGTTTTATATGATTTTAAAATTCCACTCCAAAAATTCCAATTCCACTGCAATATAGCATTCAGTTATATAACTCGTTATATAGCCTATCTCGTTATCTCTTATATCTTGTTATCATATTCAACATAATATTAAGTTCAACATAAAATTAAACTATGAATATATCCAACATGGCAGCCAAGATTCCGCATTGTTACGAAATCGAGGTTTCCGGAGCAACCAATTTGCTTATTATTATTGACTATAATATTATGATGGCGCGTGTCAGGAAATATTTTGTGCCAGGTTGATCATCTGATCAATTATTTATTTAATAATCTAAAACGATTCCGTTTTCATATTTATCAACGCAATTAGTTTCAAATATTCAAATCCATCTTTTATGATGTTGCATGACATCATTTCAATTATGCTATTATATTATAGAAATTATTGATAATAATTTCATGTATGAAAAGAATTGAATCCATCTCAATTATTAAATCTGAATATAAAAAACCAGACGAGCCAAGCTATATGTAGGTGGCTATTAATATATTTAAAATAACTAATATAAACAATAACAATTTACAGAAAATGTTTCGATCTTTAATATGGTCATTTTCAGTATATAATAAAATTCTATCGACAAGTTATGTTGTTTGTTAAATAAAGTTTACTTTAAAACATTTGTAGGTCGACAAAATATTTTAACAGAAATATAAAAATGGCATTTTTTTATAATCATGGCTGGATCTTGATATTTAATAATTATTTTTATTTTAATAAATACAATCTATAGAATATATTGTATTTTTTCCAAATCTTTATTCCAACACAATTTTCTAACGTACATAAAGCCATGTTTCCACGAAAGCGAGAGGCGCGCGGCCCGGGCGCAGCCGGCGGCAAAGGCTGCATTGCCGGCGCCACGAACACCGACCGTGCCGGAAGCCGCGCATTGGATGTGCCGATGGCCCGTTTCTCGCTCAGTTGCGACTCGGTCGCCATTATGGAGAGTGCCACAGAGTGGCCATACGACAAGGTTTTGCAACTGATCGCATTGTTTCAGCAACGGCCGATGTTATGGGATACTCGATGCGATGCTTATAAGGATCGGCAGAAACGCCAAGAAGTCACAGTCGAGCTCGCAACGTACTTCAATGTTGAGAAGGATGAGATCGAACGAAAGCTGAAGAATCTTCAAAGTCACTTCTATCGCGAGGTTAAAAAGGAGGAACAATCCAAATCGATTGGCGGGATTTACCGTAGCAAGTGGTTTGCTTATAATGCACTAAAATTTCTGGCGGACAAGAGCAAACCAAGGCGAACTCATATTTCAGCTATCGGTAATAAAATGCCGACAACGCGGCAAAAGCCGACGGTGGCTCACATGTCAACAAGACATAGCGACAGAAACCGCCTCAGAAAAACTGGTAAGAAAAAAAGTCGTTTAAATATTACGTACATCAAATTCGCGATTTAAGACTCGATTTTCTCGCGGCACGACATGAGTTATGTGACGTCAAAGGCGAGAAATTACATGTAAAAAGTTTCTTGCGTCATATAGCTTTATTTTGTAACCATACCATAAAATATCTGTCCAATAGATCGTAAAAGTGTAAAATAATTCTTAATGGACACTTAATGGACACTCAGCTATCAAAAACAACTAGATCTGGTGATCTGATGATTTTTGAGCAGTGACTATTATTTCAAGAATTAATTTACACTTTCTATTGAACAAAAATCTTAGTTTCTGATATTTTTTACAAGTTTTAAGAATATGAAAATATTATGTTTTTAAGGGAAAAGTACAAAATAAAGCTATACGATGCAAGAAACTTTATGCATGTCATTTCTCACTTCTGACGTCATAATTCAATATGGCTACAGCAAAAAAGCCGAGCCTTAAAATAAAATTCATGTGCGTCAGATTTCCTATATTTTTTTTATTTATGAATCTTATTAATTAACTTTTGTAAGATTAATGTAAAAAATCAACTAAAAGATACGGATAGATTTTAAAGCTTTAATAACTTGTTAAATATGAAAAAAATACTGAACACAATTCGCTATTTTTTCATATTTAGCAAGTTTGAAAGTCAAATTGTATCGTTGAAGATAATAAATGTCGCAGTCATCACAAATTGATTCTTTTTTTTAAGCCTAATCTTATATTAAGGTTCTTGCTGATTCACTGTACAATTTTGAATCGTAATGTAAATAACGTAATGTAAAAAATGAAAAAAACGTAATGAAAATTCTCACATAATACATTAAAATCGAAATATTTTTCAATAAAACAATTTGCAATCAATAAAACAGATTTGTTAAATATATCGAAAATTTCTTTTTTATTTTCTTATTTTTATATAATCAGAATAAATATGTGCATAGAATTGAATTATGCCTAATCAAGAGTGAAAATATAATTCAATTCCAAATGTATAATTATTTATTTATTATTGAAAAATAAAAATGGAAGGAGAGGTTTCAGTATATTTTAAGTTAATGCTAAATACATTAATTAGGACTAAACACATTAATTAGAGCGTTCAAGCATTCAATCATTATTGATCACATATTAAAGTTTAACTACTTAATTCAAAGATAATAATAAATTCAAGATTTTTGAATCCGACATTACAAAAAAATATAATTTAAAAAATGATCTATATTAAAAAAGAAATGGAATTAATTCGAACAATGATTTTGAATTATTGGATAGCCTTTATTTTAACTTTTTCAATAAAATTATGCAATAATCTTTTAAATGAATGCTGTTACACGTCAGTTTATTTATACATATGGTAATACATATATATTTATACATATAATAACACAGATAGATTCTTCCATTTTGTTAATTTCATATTTCTCATTTAGTTATTTTTATCAATTTATGTTATCAATTAATGCAATTTTTAAGTTAATTTTACTTACTAATTTCTCTATGATTTTCGATTTCTAGTTTTATGTTTTTCTCATTTTTACACTTTAAGTTACACTCAAATTATTTTAATCATAGCTGAATATCTATTAATGAATATCTATTTTAAACAAATATTTTCAATTTATCCCATTGGATTTCAATAGATTGATTTAACTTTTCTTACAATGAAAAATGAGAAACGATAGGATTATATAATTATACTTTAATTTTATCGAGAATAACGACTTCGTTTTATTTTCGCGAATTTATTATTTACTTATTGTAGCATTACGTTAATCATGACATTTTTATTTATGATCTTTGTAATTTTAATCTTATTATTTATTCATCTTCTTTTTATATTTATCTAATTTTACTTAACTTATAACGTATTTCTTTATAAATAATTTTTTATCTTTTTTGATAACTAACTAAAGAAAATTGAATGAAGTCAAAATTGTTTCTGTTATATTCTTAAATTTGAAAAACTTGATTTTTTTTCATTTTTAACCCTTTCATTGATTCTACAAGTTATATTCATTTCGTTTCGATTGCGTAGAATACGATTCGAAAAATTCATCTTTACGGAAAAAATCTACGATCAAAAACGAAAATGCCGCATCAATCATGAATAATTTTTTATATATCGATACGAATCAGCAAGACAATAGTATGGATAACAGTCAGGTAGATTACTGGGAGGAGAAGCCAGTCAGTATAGCCAGTCAAGATCCGATTGAGTTTGCGACGCAAACGATCGACGAGCAATCCCAGCATATTACCAATTTTGAGGACAACCGGCCAAACGGGAAAGGGCCCTCGACTTCTTGCAAGCAAGACACGAAGACTGCCGTGATATCTGAAGATGTGATCGGGCCGGCGATCGATTTTTTCCTCACCGAATTGAAGACTCACGGTTCAAATGACCCGGAATTGAACTTCTACCGGAGTCTCATTCCGGACATTATGAAACTCTCTGATAAAAAACGCAGACAGTTCAAAGAAATGGTACTATGCACGTTGAACAAGCTCTTAGATGAGGATGAGAAAGCTTAGAAGATGTAAAGCGATTTTACGAAATTCAACGGAAATATGTGGATTTTTATCGCGCGATATGTGTTAAAAATTATAAATAATAAAGAAGTTGCGTTCAGGTATGCTTTTGATTTTTGGAATTTCTGATTTTTAGTGATAGAAATAAAAATAACATTTTGGCTTTTTATATATTTGTATTTTTCAATCATGGTTGCTACTTGAACGGTATCAAAACAAAGCAGACGAGCGCAAAAGAGAACACGAAACAATGTAACTTTGATCATAAATACCGATCGTGGCGTGGCATTCTTGCACTTATCATAATAAACTATTTATTTATTCGAATTTACACGATCTGAACTTAAGTATTCAATTTCCCGCGAATGACATTAAAGTTGACTTTAAATATTAATAAAGCTGAATTTAGATAGAGAAATGGCATGAACGAATACGAACATTGCTTCAATGCGTAATAATATTGTAAACATTTTTCGCATAGTTCTTGCATAGTTCTTATCGATAATTTGCTCATTTGCGCTTATTTTTATCTGTACCTAGCCATTACCGATTTAAGCCGTTATCAATTTCGGTTTAAATTTGACATCTGTAAAAATAATATGTAAAAAAATATCTATACATTAAGAATATATGTGCCATACATCAAAATATCGTGAAAAATATAAAAATTGTAGATTGTTCTACTATTTCTTCTGAACATTTGTGTAAAAAATTGAACATTTTTTTGAACAGTTTAGAAATTAATCAATTTTTAAATTTATTCTTTAAAGATCGCATTGTAACTGTAATGCTACTGACTAGTATGTTTACCGAATTTTATTATTATTTTATTAATATTATTGATTTAATATGTATAATTGATAATTTTTATATTTTATGCATGTTTAAATTATTTAATATCTATATCACACACTTGGTTATTAAAAAAAAATTTACTTATAAATTATTAGTTTATCTTGATTTTTATAATTGACTTCAATATTGTAAACATTTTTGATACAAAAGTCGAAAAAAATATTAATTATAAATATTTTTTTATAGCAATGTTAAAATTATATCATTTTGTTTATATTTTAGTTTCTTCATAATTCAAATTTATTTTAAATTTTAGTACAAAAATATGTTCCTTTAAATCCTGATAGCTTTTTGCTGCTATTGTACATATCTATAGACGGAGTATAGTAGGATAAGAGAAGTGGATCAAGTCAGAAGGAATTCCAAATTTTTCGACATACTTGATTTAATTCGAAGCTGTTCGGCTAGTAATTTGTTCTTCCATATGTCAAAATGTTGAAGTTCTAACTTTAAAGCGCACATATTGCAAAATATTTATAGATTTATATATTATATAGAAATAATAAATAAATGGATAAACATAAAGTAACCTTAATTTTTTAAATCTATAATAGATTTATTACATAGTAAAAAAAATGTGAAAGCTCTATATTATAAAATATACTAATTAAAATTTTTGTATTAAATGTCCAATATATGTATGCATAAATTTAACACGTAATATTTGTCACATAATGATAATTTGTCACATTTGTAACATATAACTGAACTTAATTTTTAAAAAATATTAAAATAACGTGCATATTAACATAAAGTTCATGTTATAATCTTTGTCAACTGTGCTGTTAAAGGGATGTAATATGTCTAAGACGTTCCCGTAAGTAAGATTTCTGTACAAAGATAAAAAACATGACTCACAGCACATGAAGTACATGAAGTGCATTGTACATATGTATGATCATGTAATATAAAAATATAACTATATGATATAAAATAATATAAAATAATATTATGTATATATAATTATATTTTTTAGGCATTAGCCATTACATGGTATTTTAAGTTTTAAAAAATGAAAATAATTTTTATTTTTAATTTATTTTTTTAATATAAAAATTTTAATTTTATACAAAGTCAAATTAAATTTATGATAAAGCTTACTGTTGATTTTCTATTCAAATATTAACATAGTATTAGTATCACTAAAAAAAATAAATATATTAATATTATATTAAATTAACAAAAAATGTTGTATGAATCATTTGGGATATAATATATATTAACTTTAATACAAATTTATTGTATATTTAATAAAAACTAAGAATATTTAAATATACTTATTTTAAAAATGAAATAATAATATTAATATTTTTTTTAGTCAATATATCTAAAAGTGACGTGGCAATAACTACCTTACTTCTAAATTTGTCTATTCCGCGGAGGTAGGCCCCCGTCTATAAGCCTAAGATATGTATTATATATATATATATATATATATATATATAAAGTCAATAGATTTTTTTAAATGCGAACGCGCGAGTTGAATCGAAATCACTATGTTTACGTATTACGTGAACGTAGCCATTTCCGCAGCTGCGCAGTATCGTGTCGAACACGACTTCATCACATGCGCGCGGCCGACATCCGGCCACGTTAAAATAGCTTGTTTTGCGGGAGATCGTCGGGGTGCCGCCGGGAAAAAAGTGGAAAGCGGCCGCGCGGCTCTTGCCCGAATTTTTCCGAGTCCTACGAGATCTTAGATGCGCGCGGATCAGTGACGCGGGGTGTAGCTGGCGGTAGCCGCGTGAGTGTCGTCGACGAATAAACAAACAACAAACGAGAATGGATTGCTGGTCGGCCTGGCTGCTGCTTGTCTCGCTGCTCGGCGCACTCCTGCTCACGGGTGGCGTCGAGCTAACCTTCGAGCTGGCCGACAATGCAAAGGAGTGCTTTTACCAGGAGATCGAGAAGAACGTCTCGTCTACGTTGGAGTTTCAGGTGCGCAACGTTATCAGACGCTGATCTCCGGTGACATTACGTACGTTCCGCGTCGCGATGACACGTCGCTGTTAGCGCCCGTCTGGCGCATCCGAGCCCGGAATTCGCGGCGCAATACGCGGCATTCGCCGCCTGCGTGGCTTCAGATTGAAATGAGCGAATGGGAAAGAGAGAGCGCGGCGAGTAGAACTCGAATAACGCGAATTAATAAAATACAAGTAACGGATAATAAGAATAATGTTATTTACAATTGTATTTAAAGACCGAAGAGAAATATAAAATAAAATTGTCTTAATCGCATTATTTTTATTCATCTTTTATCAGAAAAAAGAGACAGGTGCAGTGTGATTAAAACACTTGCATTAATGCCAATCCTTTTTTCTAGAAAAATTTTGTTTACATCGAGCGATAATATTTTTATTAGTATTGCAATTTTCTTTAATCAGATGTTTCCTTTAGATAAAGGTTCTTTAGGTTTCATTGATTTGTCAACATTTTTATACAAAAATATTTTGCATTTATCAAAGTACTTTGTTTGTGAATGTGTTTTTATATGTTTCAGGTGGTTACAGGAGGCCAGTATGATGTAGATGTAAGTTTAGAAGCTCCCAATAAGGAGATTATCTATAGCCAAGTAAAAACACAATTTGATTCGCACTCCTTTATACCAACCATGTCAGGAGTGTATAAGGCTTGCTTTAGCAATGAATTTTCTACATACTCGCACAAACTTGTGTATATGGATTTTCAAGTTGGCGACGAACTGCCGCTTCCTGGTCTTGGAGAACATGTTACAGTCATGACTCAGGTGAATTACTGTGACAAAACTTTATAGTATGTGTTAACGAGAAAGATATCTTACATGCAAATGTCTTGTAGATGGAGTCTTCCGCGCAGGAAGTGCACAAGAATCTAATTAGTATCCTGGATTATCAAACACATCATCGTCTGCGCGAAGCTCAGGGTCGCAAACGTGCGGAAGAACTTAATGAGCGAGTGCTCTGGTGGTCGGTAATGGAGACTGTTTGCATCCTCTGCATCGCCGTGGGACAGGTTTTTATCCTAAAAAATTTCTTCACGGATCGAAGCCCTTCTCAAAGTTATTAGTGTGATAGCAAAGTAACAGAAAGGAAAAACTCGTTCGCGACCGAGGTACCACGATCACCGATCGAATCGTCCTCGTGACGATGTTTTTTCATCTCAGCGATCAAAGTGCCATCGTAATGCCCGCCGGTAATGTCACACCTGTACATTTCCTCGTTGGAACTTTCTGCTTTGAATAGTCTGACAATCGAGAAAGGATCGCTGAGAGGATACCGCGATTACGAAATCCAAAGAGTCGGTGAAAAAGCGAGGTGATCCAGATCCTTGTATACACCACGAACGTATCGCGTTCGTAGCTATTAATTTATACCGAGGCTGAGAACATTTTTAACACGGGTGCTGATAGGACTCGGAGCGATCAAAAGGGAACAAGTGCAAGCAATAGAATTCTTACACCTTCCCCTCCCTCTCGATGGACACTCAAGTTGTACTTATACTGGCATGGGAACAGTATAATGGACATTGAAAGGGATATGAACATTATGTTTTTACTTACTGTGAATGTGTAACATAATAAATTAAAAAGATACTTGTGTGTATATTATGTTTACTCGTATCGTCGAGCGATCTGATTAATTCCCGTCTCTCATTACTTGCCGCGCCTTCCATTATTTATCTTGGACGTCAGTTGAGATAGAAATTACTTAAATAAATGCAGTTGATTATTTACTTGTTTCCTTCGATTTAATGCAATTTTATTTGAATGTTGTTAGTTCCTCAATAATGACAAATAAGAGATTGGCGCAAATGGTAATTTATGAGTGCAAGTCCTCATTTTCATACGTGGCAGATGTCACGTTTTCCGTTGCGTCTGTGGTTATTTGATAAGCGTATGCGCAATTGAAAAATGGCACTCATGCATGAACTCATCAATATTCCGTCTGCTTAATCACATTTTTCAATTATTTCAAATGTCTAGACGCCACCTACATTAATTACGAATCTTTACAATGTCGTTTTGGGAAATTCATTCTTATGATAAACATTTTAGTAGGGAATTCACAAAAAGTTAAAACTTTTTTTAAATAATATATATGCGATTATAAATTATTGTCAGAATTAAAGGCTGTTCGATAATAAAAATTTGTAAAATTAATTCTTGTCACAGAAAAAAATATATAAAAGTAATGAGAACGTCATTATCTTATTGTTTTCTTTATTAATCCCAATTTTTTAATTATTATATATATATATATATAAAATTTATTCAAGTATTATCCTTTCAATATTTTAATATTTTTTCCTATCGCATTTTTTTCAAGAAAATGTGATTCATTTTTAGTTTATCATTTTTCAGTTGTTATAGTTCATTATTTAATAAATTTTTCGCTGTTACGTTGATATCTTTATTACTTGCGTGTCATTCTTGTCAAGGAGACAGCCGGTGCTGTAGACAGTCGAGTCCATCATTACGTTTACACGCCACTTGCCGAGAGAACAACAGCTGTTATAACCTGCTCCAGTTAAAGACGCACGATTTTTTGTCGAAGGAATTTATATCTAATTTAACAATATGCAGGTAAGTAGTCGTATTATTCAAACATTCAATTGAGATAGAAATTGTATGTACACGTGATACAGTTCGGTGTAAACGACCTATTAGATTTTACAGATATGCCTTTGATAAAATTTTTTTATTTTCTTTTTTGTTGCAAAACTTTTTAAATAAGGAACAATTTAAAAATTTAGGAACAAGACATTCCGATTGACATCAATGCTGGAAAATTGTCGGATTGGCTAATTAATCGAAGGCATTGCAAGAAAGACTGGCATACGAACATTTTGACTATCAGAGAGAAAATTAATAATGCAATACAGAACATGCCTGCTCACGATGGCATTGCCTCGTTGTTGTCTGGCGCCTGTAAGCACCATCAATTTATAATTCTGATTTTAACAAATATACAGTTGCAGACTTCTGAATTTCCTCACTTTATCTTCTCTCGTACAGATATAAATTATTTCTACTGTGTGAAAATTGTGGAAATCCTGAAGGAAACGGAAGCAGACACGAAAAATTTATTCGGGCGTTATGGCTCACAGAGAATGAAGGACTGGCAAGAAATTTTACGACTGTATGAAAAGGATAATATATACCTTGCCGAAGCTGCGCAAATACTTATGAGAAATGTTAATTATGAAGTCCCAAATATCAAGAAGCAAATACAGAAGTTGGAGCAAATGTTAACTGTAAATAAATTTATTTATATAATATACGCTAATTATAGTATTACATATTGCTGATACATTATTTTCTTTATTTATATTGTTATATTATTATTATATAAATGCATGTAAAATATTGGCAGGAATTGGAGAAAAAAGAGACTGAGTATAAAAAATCAGAAAATATCGCGCATACGGAGTATAATGGACTTTGCAAACAATTAGGTATAACTGGTTATAGTACAGTCAGACGCGAGTTAATGGATAAGGTGAAGGAATTGCCGGAAATTTATCAGAGAGTGGCAGAGAAAACGAAAAGCTTAGACAAGGTTGTGGAGTTTTATAGTGCATTTGTTGAATTCACTTTTGGGCAGCAGTATGACAATGATTGCGTGTCGATGATTAAATATATTATCGGTACGTTTGCAAAGTTATTCTTTCAAAAGTGTAATAAAAGTTGGATAAGAAATACACATATGATGAATTGTTTTTTATAGAAAAGGGAAACACAACGACGTTTGAATATACTTACGGAGAAGCACCGATGTCAATAATTGATCCGTCATTGAATATTAAAGCAGATGAAGATGAAAGTAATGGAAGACCTAATGTGGATGCCAATGTATGAATATTTTTATGATTTCTTGATACTTATAACAAGAAATATTTGTGATACTTATAACAAGAAATTGAATTATGTTATTATCTTGATACATTCTTAACAGACCATTGACTTCGGCAATTTGGATTTGGAATACGGAGAAATTGATTTCGGTGAAGAAGTTGATTTGAATGCAGGAGGCGGTATTGATTGGGGAGATGAAAGTACGGTACAACCTGCAGAGGAAATAGATTATAATATCTCTTTGGAGGAATCGGGTATAGTTGTGGAAGCGGCAGGTCATGAAGGTGGTGTGGCTATGGGATCTGAAGCATACACGATATTAGACAATCCAACAACGAGATCCGAATTTATCAATCAACTATTTGAAGTATGATACAAATATATAAAAAATTGAAATTATTGTATATTTTTATCTAAATAAATATTTCTATAGCTGGAGGCATTTATGAAGTTGCGTCTATATGAGTTTAAAGGCGACGATAGGAACAATCTCTTGAGCTTTAGTCAGATGCAGGATGCTTCATCTATTTTGCAACTTTCTACCACGGAGACTACTCAGAACATGCTGGATAACGTTCAAGTTATCCTTTCTGAAATATTACATAATAACGTTCAACATTTACATAACATCAAACATTATCCAAGGTACAATTAACGAAATATTTCTTTTTATAGATGTTAATATTCATATAATTTTTAATTGTAGATACGTGGATGTAGTGGCTACTACTTTAAAGCAAAAATTGAATCTGATAGACAGAATGGTAACCCAACAAGAATCGATGCGACAGAAGCAAGAGGATACGCAAAATCAAATTAATAAATTACGTCCGCTTTTAAAACTTGTCATACAAAGAACTAAGGAACTGCAAACAGAGGTATATCATCTTTGTTTTTGTAATGCTGCATTTTCGAATAACATTCCATTATTTTTTTACATGGTATTCAATTACAGATAGAGCAAGACATTTCGAAAAAGTACAAGAACAGAACGGTTTATCTGACCGGAGGTGTAAATATGTTATAGGTGTTGGACAATAGAGATAAAACTGTTGAATTTTGTATTAAGAAGAATTGTGTAAATAATATCTACGCTAAAATAACACGTGCAAATGAATTTTGTTATTGTATAATATATGTACAATATAATTTTTTATTTTTATATATTCTGCACCTATTTCCTTGATGCGTAATGATACAAGGAATAAGATAAACTTAGATGCTGCTAGATATGATGATAATTGCTAATCATAATCTAATCTTTTGTATCTTTAAAAATGTAATTTGCAAGAAATAATCAATACTTTCTTTGGCATTTGAGTTTTATCGGCCTTTGAGAATTGATATGACACGATATGTTTTGACATGATATGTACGAGTCGCAAACTAGGTATTATGTAAATCATTTCATTTTGTAAATCAGATCTGACGATAAGATATGTTTATCGCATTTTTCAAAATATAGCTTATTCTATTTTCAAAATACATGATTTATATAATCATGAAGAGATTCTGCACGAGTCTCCATGGTGATGAGGTACAAACTGCTTTGGTAGTTGGGCAAGGATATCTTCTCAGGCATTCGGCTAACGAACGATCGCATTCGCACAAACGTTGAGCACAAGATCCCGATCCTCCCCAACTGCCATGCTCAACCGCTGCGATAACGAAGATTTCATGTATTTTTTTATTTTGTCGTGTCATATTACTTGGCATAGAATAAATTAATTAATTTTAATTTGTAGAAAAAATATTTCTGTAAATCTAATTAAAGTAATTTCTTGAAAGCCAAATTAGTTTGTAACAATAAAGAAATAATAAAGAATAAACCAACCGCAAACGGGTTTATAACCGTGGTAACATCTCCAGTAATACGGTACGAAATATTCCGAGAACATAGGACATTCCGTAGCGTCGTAGCACCAGTCATGCATTTTACAGCACCTAAAACATGACATTTTCTTCAGTTGATATCTATCTTCCTGCCAAAAGGAAAACTCGTATAAATGATTCGTTTCTTTGCGACGTACTGATCGATACCATCGATGACATAACCGGAACCCAAGAATCCGCAATAGCAGCCGTATCCTTTATAAAGCAGAGGATTACATCCTGTGGCGCACACCACCATGTTATAGAGGTGTATCACTCCTCTTTTGAATCTCGTATGGCTCGTGGTCTCCTTTCCATTCGTTCTGAAACCGCGCAATCTTTATGTCGAGTCAGTCTGTCATTACAAATTGCCCCTAACAAAAGTTCCCATTGTAGCTAGCGTCCGACTTACGCGGGTTGAGCCTTCGTGTTGTTCGCCGTAACGTTGTTCGGCGACACGCGCACGTAGACATCCTCGTCGTAATTGCGCGCCGACGAAGCGCTCCACGGGTCACCACTGTGACCGACGTAGAGATTCCCCTGATCTTCACTTACGTCATTATTCATGTATGAGTAATCGTAATCCGCCTGACGCGCTCTGGCACCTCCGAGTATCTTGTAAACATCTGGCGTGCCGTTACCTGCAAGTGCCACGAGCGATGAATAAACGAAATAAATAGCGTCGCTTTATACTCAGGAGAAGAGAGGAGAGAGGAGAGAGAGAGAGAGAGAGAGAGTAAAGAGAGAGATCGCACACCTACATACAGTTATAAAACGATATACAGTTACAACCGTTAGTTTGTCATACTTATATTACCTTTATATTAATCGAATATGTTTATATGGAATTTTTTCGTCACGGATATTTGGCGAATTAAGAAACCACCGACTTTCTACGATGGTACTTTGTACAATGATAAATACCTTAAAGCTCCGCAATGCTATACTTTCTACACATAAAAGTGCTAAGTGGAGAGCTATCGATACCACCAAAGAGTGATTGCTTTTTACTAACTCTGTCGCTTAGTGCGAGTCTGAGGATGCAGGATATTTTCCCGAGCCGTTCTGTACAATTATACGTAACACGTGTTGTATGTGATGTTTCTCCTAATCGCCAGTACTTCACCTTGATCTAGACCCCCGCTTACATTAGCGTAAAAACTACTCTCATCTATCCTACTTCTGGCCGTTTTAACGGTTTCTCGACAATTTTCCATAAACGCCGAGGGAATTGCGGAGTGCCTACTCGTTGCCGTACGACAATACGAGCGTCATTTTCCCCAATTTCACTTTTTTTAGATTATCCTTTCTACCAGTTTAATAAGATATACTTGCGGAATATCTCGCAAGTTTCACTGCACCGAGATTATCTTACCGCGAGCCGTAAATTCTGAAGAAAAAAAGTGAATCTACTTTTTTATGAATTAATTTTGTTAAAGGAAGCTGATAACCTTTGCATTCTTGCATATCTTTTTAATGAAAAAAAGCTTTGTATCTTATCATTATAGTTATTCAATAATTATTTCATCATTATTTTTTATATTTGCGCAATTATTTTTACAGTTATTTTGCTAACGTCATAAAGATACGAACGAAATTAAATCTTGATATTTATTTTATGAGCCATGGCTATATTTGGTTTCTAAGAAATGCCACAAAAGTCAAATAAATATCTAATTATTATTATTTTTTATCGAAATCTTTACTTTCCCTTCTGCGTATTTCTAGCAAATATGGAGTTTGAGAAAAGAAATATAAAATATCATATTTACAATTATATAATTTTTTCCACAGCTATATAACTTTTTTTTCTGCAAGAAGTAATTGATATGAGAAATAATATGAGAAATAAAATGACGTAAAGAAATAAACATGTTTTTTTAAATACGTTGTCAACAAAGTTACTAATCGCCAAAGGAAATACAAAATATAAAAAAATAAATGGATGATATTTCTGAGGAGAACGGATATCAACGGTAAAAAAATTTACATTTATCTCTAGATAGAGTTACAGGTTGTATCTTTGTGTTGTGCAAATGAATGTTATCACTTGAGTATTAAACTCATCGAAAACGGAAGCAGCTACCAAGCAGCTTCCATTTATAAAGCGAGCGTGTCCCGTTTGCATTTTTCCCTCCCGTTATGGTGTAGTCAATTCCATCCGGGCAAATTTTATTTTTTATGAGATCTCGTCGACGAACGAGCTACGCTCGAAAATACGCTTACGCTTTTCGGCTTGCGGTGCACGAATATCTCTCGATGTGAGAGTGCGCGCTTCCGCTTTACACGGCAGAACATGTCGTGTTACTGACGTTCAGGAAATCTCGTTAAAAATGTACAAAAGTCATGTTTATATTTCATAGAATTTGGAGACAGCTCACGTACGTTTAATACGATACGCTTACGTATGACGTTCTTTCTTTTTTTTTTTTTTTTTTTTTTTACGTACTACGTAAAGGACATGAATCAGTACGGTAAATTTAAATGTGTAAAGAATCGCGTCTGCAACGTCCGTGTTCGTAACTACGAATTGGTACGACTTCCAATCTCGATGCGATTACATAATTTTCATCAATATAGTGTAATCTCTCGCGCTTCAATTCGCGCAATAATCTTTGATGAAACTTGGCTGTTCCTCCTTAGCTTAAAAAATTCAATAGTCGTGAAAGGTGAATCGGCAAACTTCAGATGCATTGTGTTACGTAACAGTGCTAAATTGTAGACGTTATGTAACGTTATATAGAATGTCAAGAAGAAGAAAGTGAATTGTTAATTTGCATATCAAGAAATCAGAATTGTTGTATCAATACATAAAATAAACATTCTCCGTATAATTATAAATTTTTTTAACTATTAAAGTTATTTATATGCCCTATCTTAATTTATTGATAGTTAAATTACAAAAAATGTAATAAAGTTATAAGTCGTTAATGGTGATAATTGCGATTAATAAGCTTAATTAACGGCGTATGCGTAGAAATATCACGTCCGGGTTACTATAACGAATTATTATAACTGTAATACATTTGTTATGGCGGATGTGTCTTGCGGAGGAAAATTGAGAGATTATACACTGTTTTATCGTTCATCTTTGTTGCGTTCGGAATTACTCAACGACAAGTAAATTGAGATCGTGAAATGAAACGGCACGATCGAATCGCCGCTTTTAACGATTTCCACGGTAACAATCATAATGCTTCGCAACGTTAATTAGTCTCCGGGCGTGGTGGTAGTCTCTGTAATCAGTGAAACGCAATTCCTTTTTGCTCGCGGTTTCCATGGTGCAGCCACGTAAAAATTTAATACGTCGATTTTCTCCCTTGAAGTAATACGAACGGAGGCGAACGTGGGCGAGCAAAGCCTGGAAGTCAGCTTCAATCGTCCATCAAACGGGATTCCATCGTAAACGTTGGATTTTCGGAAAAAGATTTAATTAACAGAAAAAGTATGATGTAAAGTATTGAAAGTCATCTGCTCGAAATAAAATTCAAACTAAATATTTGCTTATGGAAACAAAATTAGCTCTAGTTGGAAAACATGTGAATTTTCGAGCGCTATGACGAGGAAAATTTTCGGTACTAAGAGAAAATTTTGGAACAAATGAAAGGGGATTGCCATTATTCGAATCGTGGATAACTACAAAGTTTTTCTCACTGGATTAATTAATTATGTCTGCATTAGTCTTCCCTTCGTCGCTTACAACAAAGTTATCTCGTGAGTTGCTTGATTTGAATGAACGTCTCATTGTCAGCGATGCCGTGTGAATGGATTTAATTAGATGCCGCTCTCGCTACTTTTTCGACCTGATATTCAATTGTATGTATACATTTTCTTAAGAGATTCGTCCGACGTTTGTTGCTAGTGTTGATTATGATAAAGTAATTTCACGAGTGTATAATTAGAGCGGTAGTTTGAAGTTCACAGTTATTAGCAAGAAAATAATGATGTAAATAAGAACTTTTTACATAAGAAAATACAATTAATTACGTACATCGCATAATGCATAATTTACATTGATGACAAAGTAGAAATGATGTGATTGCGATGCAACCGGAGAATAAGAAAATACATGGGAAGTAAAATTTATTTATATAAAATATTATAAATAATACTTTTTTCGTATACAACCGGATTAAATTTAAAAATTTATATTCATGAAATGTTAATTTTATTTTTTACATTTCAATTGTTTTTCATTTAGATTTTTGCTATTTCATAACGATTATTATTTACGAAATATATACACAAAGAAATAAATGTGTAATGTGAGAAAAAAAAATAAAATGCTCGATGCACACAATGTGTTGCTTTTTACAGTATCATAAATTATATATATGTAAAGTATCGCATGCTTCCCGTAACAATTGTTAATAACAGACTGCTAAGGTTATTTTAAATTTAATTTTGAGAGGTTATCTTGAAACAAATATTCTAATAGCTAAATGTCAAAGTTATAATAGTTTTTAATTCAAAAAGTTTATTTAAAGTTGATAAATTAAATTGTCTGAAATTTGCACGCTCAGTCACGGCTCATTGCACAGCAGTGAAACTACGAAAGCCATCATTTATAATACATTTCATATGATATCTTTGACATCATTTTTGATGTATATGCACATACATAATATTTCTACGTTCGAAATTTACAACATTTATTAATTTATATTAATACCGGATATTTTATCGGCCTTATACCACTTATTTCGTATTATTAATAATATAATATATTATTATATTTTATATATTATTTCATATTATTAAGAGTACCACAAAATTGTGATATTATTAATTTAATAATAACGCTAAATTGCTAATTCTTTATTTCAATATTTAATATGCGATGTTTGACAAAGTGCAATAGTTCTATACAAACTTTTGTTTACTTCGTCGGTTACGAGTTTTCTTTAAATCGCACCTAAAATAGTCAGATAAGTGATAAGCGACTTGTTATTTTTTTGTTATTTTTTATTGTTATTGTTATTTTTTTCTTTTGTCATCATTTATTAGATCTTTAAAGACCTCCAATTTATTATGAACGGTTTTCTATATTTCTATATTTCTTCAAAATTTAAACTACTTATAGGGAAAAAAACAATGGAAAAGAAAACTCTAGTTGGAAAAATGGACAAATCAAAAATTTCGATTAAAATTACAAAATTTCTATTTAAATCGATCATTTATTGAATTAATGAGAAGTCTTATTAATCTTTAAATTAAATAATTTCAATTTCAAATTTCTGATTTGTCTATTTTAAAACAGAATTTTGATACAGCCAACCAAACTATTTTTCTTGTGTATCTGATTGAAATGACTTATTAATTTATTATCTATTATTTATTAGTTTTGTATATTCAGAAAATAATTTTTTTCTTCTTTTCTTTAAAAATTATAGGCAAGAAATGAAATCTCGTCAAAAGTAAGGCTCACCTCGAGCGTCGCAGCCGAGCAGCGTTTCGAACAGCAGGAGAACGCACAAGATCCTCCCGCGCCGAGGCGATCGATCCGTCCGCGATGGATCGCGGCCACGTGCGGCCGGATCGGATCTTTTGCGGTACATCGAGGCACGTTTTCACCAAATAGATTGAATTCGATCAGGGAACTCGAACTTTCTTGTCACCTACGATTCATCTTCGGCACATCCGGCAGCGTGGCAGGATTTTCCACGTGCCGCCGCATCGAGGAAACTGCAGCAGCGGAAACGGTAGTAGTGTCCAGTTGCACACAGCCTCCTCCGGGTTTTCGCCGGTTACCGCGCTGTGTTGATTAACACCGGATTCTCGTGCACCTAATGATGTAACCTGTGCAATTGGAGAGATCACGAATCACCAGCACCATCGCTGTCGCTAAGTGTCGACTCCAATTCCGATCGGCGACAGATCAATTAACGCGCCTGCAACGCCGTCCCTTTGCCGAGGCTGTCCTCTCGGTCGGATGACGTGCACTGAGAACCGATCATTGTCATCCGGACAAGGTCACTCCCGGTACGGCCACTCCCGTACAAACCGAGCACAAAGGGTTTTTCTCGCGCCGAGCCGCGAGGCTTTGCATTGAATCCGCCGGGGATTCAATAACGTGGCTGGTTTTTGTGTTCCGCCGCGTACGCACGTTACCTTGCACGCGGCTAGATGAAACGTTAACGAGACGCCTTGAAAAGAAAAAGAAAGAAAAAGAAAAAAAGAGATCTCTCGCCACGGGATTTACGCGGCTCGCGTTATTGCGCGCGATGTGCTGTATTACAAATAAATCCGTACTCGATAATCCCCAAGCCCAAGTTTGTTATCACGACAATCATTCACTCGATCATTCGCATTCCTCCTTCCGAGTCGACACAGCGACTCCTTCCCTTTGCCCCGAGGACGCTGCTCGTCTTCTCCGTTTCGAAACTTTGTTCAAACTGCAACAGCTCCGTCACGGTTTACTTTAAAGTTTCCCACACACACAGCGAGGATCCACTTTGGCGACGGGGAACCGGGTAAAATACCGACTGCTCTTATCAGGCACCGTTCCATCGTTTTTCCCGACACACCGTCTCCTTCCACCTTCCGCCGACATTCTCGGGAGTATCGCGATTTCCAAGATACACCGCTCGGCTCAACCTGTGACCCCGAGAAAGTTCATCGGGAGCGCGGATTGTGTACTCGACTCGAGGAGCGCGCCGCCGCCGATTCTCGCGGTCGCACTACCGTCTAGACTCCTTGGTCTAGCAAATCTCTGTGCTGTTACACTTTCGTCGGAGAAGGAGGAGTAACGAGAGAGATCGTTAGCATTTTTCCGCGTTGACCGCGCTTTGATCTTGTACTCCTCGTACTTCTTCCGCGCTCTAAATTCAAAAGACGAAGAGTGAACACAAAGCGACATGCATTCCGGATTCTTTTTCTTTTTCAGGCAACGAATGTGACAAACTCGATGTTGTAACGCCGTAATATTTATCGGAACGAATATATTGCGACGGGGAAAAAAAAATCATATAATATATGCACCGTGACGTTGTTGTCAACGTTATAATTTAACGATGTTGCAACGGATTTATAATGTTAAAATTAATCAAACGTTTTGTAATTAATTAATTTGATGTTACACTTACGGTCATCAGCATAATTTTAAATGTCAGCAAACTAAATTATTTTCAAATTTCTAAATATGTACATGTTATATATATTTTTTATTAAAATATAAAATTTCCCTATATATGTATAAAAAATTTTTTAGATATTAAGAAATTTGTAAACACATTAAAAGAACTTTATCTTTTATATTAAACACACAAATTGATCAATTAATAAATTAAAATAAATGTCTATCTTTAATTGATCTACATCTTTGGTTTTATATTAAAAGAACATTGTTTTATGATAGACTCAAGATGTAGGTAAACGAAAGTTTAAGGCAAAGTCAAGATGCAACAGGTTACACGAGACATTCTCGCAACTTTAGTCAGTAGTACAATCACTAGTAAACTACAATGGAATGTAACACTTATAATTACTTATAAAATATTAGATTTACGGCCGTTTACAAATAAAATATACGTGTTATAATTAAATGGTACTTGTTAAAATTACAAATGTTACTATCTATTGATTATCGTCGCGTATCAACGCAATCATGAGTGACGATGTAGATATAAATTTGCAATTATGGTATAATAGCGTAACCGCCAACGCACGGATCATTCAATTTTTGATATTATTCAAATGAAAATACATATTTAATATTATTTGCACGCACGCGTCTCTTTAAATGAAACTGAAGGCGCAAATTTTATTATTACAGCAATTTAAACCTTTTAACGGTATGTTTATTCACCGTTTTATTTTTAACATTTTCATTGAACGCGTTAGCACTCGAAAGACTCCGAGTGTTCGGCAAACAAATCTTAACGTTCCTTTCGTCCTTTCCTTTAAACGCGACACGTTTCACTGAATGTCGCGGCAAAAGTCGCAACGAGGAGTCGAAATCTCGTAAGATTTTCACAAACGATCTTCCCCGAGTCGCGCCGCGGGTCCGTCTCGACGATTTAGGCCCGATTACACCTGTATCTGTCTTTATTTTTTTTTCCTAAATAAATAAAGACACAGACACTTATTTAAGCCTCGCTTGAAGCCAAAATAACGTTGGTACAATCGGGCCTTGGCCGATCTCGATTGTGCGCGATCGCGACGCGTAGGATCAAGATGTAAAGGAGGCTACTTTCTACATGCGGGCGCGGCGCGGGATTCCTTCAGAATCGCTCGTACGATCCGCGCGATTTATGCACGATCTGGTGGCCGGCC